GACTAGCATGGATAAACTTGTGTTAGCAGTGGACAGGCTAGCGACTAGCATGGATAAGCTTGTGTTAGCATCAGAGAGGCTAGGGACTAACATGGATAAACTTGTGTTAGCATCAGAGAGGCTAGCGACTAGCATGGATAAACTTGTGTTAGCAGTGGACAGGCTAGCGACTAGCATGGATAAGCTGGCCTTAGCACCAGAGAGGCTAGCGACTAGCATGGATAAGCTGGCCTTAGCATCAGAGAGGCTAGCGACTAGCATGGATAAACTTGTGTTAGCAGTGGACAGGCTAGCGACTAGCATGGATAAGCTGGCCTTAGCATTGACAAGTGTAACTCCTACCAAGAGTCCATCATGAAAGTGGCAACAAATTTATTCTCTCATTGATGGACTCAATCTGGAATTTGTCTTAGCTTAYATTAGGAACATGTCAGGCTCTGTGTCTACATGCTCCAGTTTGATCATCACGTTGTTTTTCACCTGCTGTTCAAACTGTCATCAAAAACATACAATTATTGAATTCGAGGATGAGAAAACAAGCATCTGCAGCCAGAGCTGTGATTTTCATACAACATCATTCCATAATTGTGTCTTGTTTCCATCAGAAAATGGTTTAACACATCAAAAAATGACATTTCTTCTCTGTTAGAGGAGTTTTTAACACTTTGATCCYTCACCAGTCTGCTCCTTCTCAGAGAATCATGGCCCAGATTTGAGTTAACTCATCCTCTGATCTGCTGTTCGACGCGAGGAAAGGAGTTAAAACCGTGTACCTGTCGCTGCGACCAAGATCCCTCCCCTGACTGCACTTCCTGCTGGGAGAGACGCCCGAGGCCCGTGCTCGCTGAGCCTGAATGAGTCACACTTACCACAGCCACCTCCCGCCCTCTCCAGCCGTTCCACTGACTCACTTAGCGCACATGACAAACGACAAAATCACCCTGAACCTCCGCCCCCTCGCTCAAACCCGACTGCCCATCGCCCACACGTTGCCAACAGTACTTAAAGCTGGGATGCATCTCGCCAAGCGTCATGATACAAAACAAACTTATCACTCGGAAAGAAAAACAACTTGTTCTGGCTCTTCAAAGTCACATTCCACCATATGGCTGGTTCCATTTGTCYTTAACGCATGACTTTTAGGACAGATCTGAAAGCGAGTGAGTGATATAAATATCAAAAGCAGATGGCATCAACGCTTGGCAATGTCAAGATATTCTAAAATATCAAGACGTTCCAGCGAAGTGAAGACTTGTGCTAATATAAATAAACTCTGAGGGTTCGTCTTTACGTCTCAGTTTGCTTACGAAGCAGAAGTCGGAGCTGGAGGAGTGCTGATAGTTAGATACTACACCTCATATACTTCACCAGTTAAACGCAGAGGGGAGCAGAGTTGTTGCAGTCTGCACTTTTTCCCCCCACAATGGGAAGAACAGCAGAGCTTGTTAAACCATTGAAATCACACAAACCCCGGCTCTGAAAACATTGAGCCGTTCTGMAAAAAATGTAACTAAAAACAGAATGTAAATATCATAAATATAATAAACTGTAACAGCTTGTTGTGCGAGTGGGGAATAATGGTAAATTTGAGTTTGATAGCAGCAAAACATTTTTATAAAGTTGCTCCAGCATCAACAAACAACTGTAACCGTAACTGGTATGGATGAATAACAGCATTTTACAGCTAATTAGGTTAATTATCAACAGGTCAGTGAAATAAAGGTGGYTAAATGTCTAGATGGAACAGGTCTGGTTCTGTTCTGGTCCCTGCACGGGCTCAGGAACACAAACCATTGTTTATAACCAGCTCACTGCACCATCCACAAATTGGATGCWAACGATTGCTTTATCTTTTTATTTATATTGAAAATAACTTTTTTTCCCATAATTGAGGGTTTGCACATTTTACAGCTTTGTTCAAATGTTGTTCCCAAACATCCAAATAATAAATAAAACTCTGTCAAAGTCTCCATTTACCTGCAAAAACAATGGCTGTTCTGAGACTGCGGTGAGCATTACTGCGGCGAGCGTTACTGCTGCGGCTCCGGCTTTTCTCACAACCGTTTTAGGCTCATTCTAACATTTGTCTTTTACAACGATGCTGTGTACCGAATCTGACACCTCCAGTGGTGCCAGACACTTAAATCTTCTGTTCAACTACAGCACAACACTCACTTCATCTCTCCTCGCTCTGCTCAGCCCCCTGGGCTCCGAACCGAAGGCTGTGCAGCCGAGGACGGGAGAGGCGATACAGCGCTTAGCGAGTGAGCCATAACTGAGAATATTGCAATATGTTTTTTTTGTTCAGTGGTGCCAGAACATTAAAGCCAAGTGGCATTTTCAAAAAAAAGTCTAAAGTGGCGGGTTTTAACCACCCCAAGGAGTTTTGTAGGATGCCTCAAGGGCTCCTAAATGCTAACTGCCTTAAGGTTTTTCCTTCAAAAATAAAAAAGGAAGAAAAATATTAAATAAAATAAAGTTTTATGTCTGCTGAGTTATTGAAATACTGGTTTTGCTCATGTCTCTGTGTGTTAATATCATTATCAAATATCTCATGAACCACAGATTTTAATGAAGTTGTTATTATTGGACATGCATCTGCAACCAATTCAAAATGGCCACCACAGCCATGAACTTAAAAAATAAATGTTTGATGGAGTTAAGATTTGGTGTGGTAGTATCTGAGTACCCTCCCCAACAGATACTTTAAGCATGGCATGTTAAACATTAACTTTTAGAGTGAACTCTGTATGTCTGTTAGTAAAATATGTCATGAAGTAGAGCAGAGATAGATATCTTAAATGATGGAAGGGGCCACAATTTTTTTGATGACACAAGCAGAGGGACACATAGTGCTGAGCGAATGTACTAAATGTACTAAAACTGCCACATTAAACGTGTTTGTATATGTATATATACATGTGTGTGTGTGTGTGTGTGTGTGTGTGTGTGTGTGTGTGTGTGTGTGTG